ATTCATTCTTTATTCTGAAATGTTGTGTATGTTTATTATATTAAATGAATATGATGAATGAATATCAATATTATTGTTTATTTGATTTTAAAAAATAATAAATGAATATGAAATAATAAATGAAATAAAATAATGAAGACAATGAAATGATAATGAAATAGAATAATCTAATATTGAACAAATCAAATAAAGAATATATTGAATATATCATTATTGTTACTTTATTATTTGTTATTTCAATTATTAAATATTAATAAATTATTATTCATGAATATTTAATTAATTGATTATTATTTTACAATTTCATTTTCATTTTATTTAATAAATGAAATATAAATAATAAATGAATGAATAATAATTTAATACATGAAATAATAAAAAGAAAAGAAAGATAAATAATAAAGAAATATGATGTATTTAATATATAATATAATTTATTATCAAATATAATAATAATATCAAATGATGATTTATTTTTATTTCAAAATATTTCGCATCAATAAAAATGTTGCTAAATATTTCGCATTATTAATTTTCGCATCATTAAATTTTGCGCTTTTTTTATTTGTTTCAATAAAATTCGCATCCTTTATTTTTTTTCTTTCTTTTCTTCTTTTATCATCTCTTTTGTTTTATTACACTTTATCTTCTTTCTTTTTATATTCTCTCCTTTCTACTTTTATTCTTTCTTCATCATATCAAACTTCTTACTTTCTTTTTATTCTTTTATATCATTCATTCTCTTCTTTTTCAATTATTTGCTTTTTTTCGTTGCCTGTTTTGTTATGATAAAAACAGTATTCAATGACATCCTTCATGTTTTGTATTACAATGGTTTTTAATTTCTTTAATGACGTTAATCTCAATTTTTAATTCTTTAATTAATCTAATACTTTCTTTATTCACTAATCCATTTATTGAGACTACTACTGGAATTATTTTGACATCTTTTAACTTTTCTATTTTCATTAGAATATTCTTTAATTCTTTATACTTATTTCTTTTCTTCATTTACACTCAACTAATATTGTGATCAGCCACAATATTAGTCATATCAAATAATAGACTAGTTTTATTCTTTTTATCTAATACATATATATGGTATTTTGTGATATTGTCATTCACTTTTATGCATTATTTGTTTGTTAAATATCATTGTGATGTCTTTATATTGGAACATTGTTTCATATGGAGGTTTTTTTATATTGTTTATTTCTTGTATATTTTCTTATTAATCAATATTATAATGCCAATATTGTCATGTTTTTCAATTTGTGATTTATTATGATAAATACAAGATAGTAGAATGTGTTGTACTGTAGCTATCTTGTCTTTACAAAGTGTTGAGTATTTTAATCTTTCATTTTTCATTATTTTTGCTTTCTTATACCCACAAAATATTGCTCCATCTTGCATTTTAGTTAATTGTAGAAATGCATTTTTCTTAATATTGATTGACTTCCATGCTTTCACTATAGTAGTTTTATCTACTCATTTTGATTCAAAACATCTTCTAAAATATCCACTATTTGATGACACTTCCATTTTTTGATGTATTTGTCATTAATTTCTTTGTGGATTATTCACATTTCTTCACTACTTTCTGTTATTATTCTCAAATCATCCATATATAATGTGTGATTTGATTTTGGGAATTTCTCTTCGATGATTTGAGAAATCACATTCATCTGGATGATGAAGAGTAGAGGGGATAAGGAATCACCTTGTAAAATTCATCTATTTAATTTAATACATCATAGATATTCATTAAATTTATAACCGATGAATATCTTCCATCTAGTCATCATACTTTCAATTATGTCAATGATAACAAACTCATAATTAAAATATTTTAATGATTCAATGACTCATTCGTGGTTGACAGTGTCATATGCTTTCTTAATGTCATAATATGACTCCACATATTTTGGGTATTTTTCTTCTTTCTGCTGCTTCATCATATAACTATTAATTATTCCTTCTTTAGCAGCTAAAGATTGTAACTTACATCCCAATTGATTTTTACTAATTTTAAATGATTCATTATTCATGTTAAGTCTTCTGTGAATCTTTTCTTTTAATATTGATGTAAATACTTTCATAATTACATTTGTACAACTGATATGATAATAATTAATGACATTATTCATATCACCTCCTTTGTGGATTAATAAAGTTCTTCCACTTACCATGTCTAATTTGATGTTTTCAGGGAAGTTCAACCATTCATTAAAGATATTGAGAATGGCTTCTCATGATGATGACATCCTTTTCCAATAATACCCATATATAGTGTCTATTCATTGTGTTTTCCAGTTATTTATTTTCATTATACTTAAATTTAATTCATTTATTGTTATTATGACATTATTATAATTGAAATATCTTTCATTCCACGAGGTGATTTGTTTTATTTTCCAATTCTCTTTATTTAATTTCACCTGTGTTTCATATAACGATTTCCAATATTCTAAAGTAATATCGTTATTTGGGTATATTTCATTTTTTGGGTCTTTCTTCCTTATTCTAATTTTCTTGTTAGAATAAAACATGATTTTATTTGTATTGATTCTGATTATTTCTTCCTTATTAAATTTAATTCTTTCTTTGATCATTGTCATCATATATTTTAGGTACTTTATTCTTTCTAGTGCTTTAACTTTAATTCCTTCTTCATCATATTCTTTTAATTTCATGTTGCATTTTATTCTCTACAATTTCATTGACTATATCTTCTAATCTATTGATTTTCTTTAGGATTTCTTTTATTTCATCATTTTTATCTCTTATTATTTTATTTTGGAGATAGAGGTGCATATAAATTGAAATCTTCTTCATATCATCTTGCAGTTCATGCATTCTGCTTCCTGACATTATCCATTTATTATTAATTTCATTTATTAATTCATAAGTTTCTTTTCTTTTCCAGTAGTAATTAATGTTTGTACATTTTTCTATTTTCATTTCTTTTATTTTATTGATGAGAGTGTTAAGGTATTCTTCATCAATTTCAGTAGAGTTATTCTTTAATATGATGTTTTTATTATTGAATTACACTCTACTCTTCTATTATATCATTTACTTTCACTTTAATGTATTGTTTAGTATTTTCTTTTATTTTATGTGACATTTTAATATATTTAATATATTCATTTTCATTATTTACATTGATGTTTATTGCTTTTATTATACTTTCTATTTGCTCCCATCTTAATTTCTTATATAATTTCTTATTTAACCAATTAATTTCAAAACAATACAACACTTCAATTAAAATTCTATTTCTTTCTTTTGTATTTCTTGTCTGATTATCATCTCTTGTTTTTTTGACAATCATTGCTTTTCTCTTCGATTTCAACTACTGTCTTTTTCATAGGAGTAGTTTCGTTCATCTCCATTGTTCCTGATGATGCTTTCCTCAATACTGGGTGTGTATTTATCACAAGTGTCATCGTTTTCTTCTTCTCCAGTTCCTTCTGTGAGATAAAATTTTGAATATCATCTTGTTGTTTTGATATTATTTGTTTTTGTGTTTCATTTTCTTTTTGTGTGTTGTCTAATTCTTCTCTTGTTATTTCTGCAATCTCATGACTTATTATTGCTGTTTGTTGAATTTCAGAGATTTGTTTTTCTTTATCTCTTAGTTCACTTTTCAGCTCCTCAACTCTTCTCTCTAGTGCTTCCGCTTTTTCCTCTAACACACTATTCTTCTTCTCCAGTATTTCTCCTTTTTTCTTCAGCTCTTCTGTTTTCTCCTTTTGTTCATCCTTTTCCTTCTGTAACTTCCCTTTAGTGGATTTTAGACTTCGAATGGTTTCTTCTTTGTTATTCATTTCCATGATTTTCCTTCCTTCTATCTCATTTATTTCACCTTGTAATTTTATATTTTCTTCTGTTAGTTTTTCATTTTCTTTCTTCATTTCATTATAATTCGTTTGTACTTTCTTAATTTCTTTTTTCAAATTTTCTATCTCTTTCTCAAATTCTTTTCTGACTATTTCTTTTGCTTTTTCTATCATTTATTCTGAGATGGCTTGTTCTTCTTCCTTTCTTTTTGCTTGATATCCTTTAATTTCTTCTTCTAATTTTTTAATCTGTTTTTGAAGTATTTTAATTTCTTCTTTTTCTCTATTATTTTCCTCTTCATTCTTTGTTTCTTCTTTATTTTCTTCTTGTGTTTTTCTTTCTTTTTCTGTTTCATTTATTATTTTAGCCATTTTACATCTTTTTTGTAATTCTTTAATTGGGTTTCTACTTTTGATTTCTGTTTCAATCGCTTGGACGTCTTCTTCTTCCCATCCTTTTGTTCTTTCCTTAAATTTCTTCTTTAATTTTTTCAACTCTCTTTTTCTTTCTAACTGCATATACTTCTTGAAGGATATCATACCATCTTTTTCTTTTACCTTCGTATTTTTTAAGTATTTCTGAATATTCTCCTTTTTCCCATCTGCTTGTTATTCCTTTTATTCTTTCATGTATCTCTTTTATTGTTAACCATATATGTCTATTGTTTGTATATTCATTATTATTTCAGTGTTTATCCTGTTTTTTATTCGTTCTTCTTTGTCTTTGTTGTTTTTTAAACCCTTTTCTCTTGGTATTTCTTTTATTATAATTGTGATATCTTTTATTATAATTGGAATATCTTTTATTGTTGTTATTGGCATTTAACCTTGTATTTCTATGTCTTGTTTGCTTTTCTTTACAAGACGTCAAGGCATTACTCCATAACAATGGCAATAAAATTTATTGTATATCCTGCATTGGAAAAGGATCTTTTAGTAGATATAAAAAAGAAAACACCAAACAAAAACATTCTACACACACCCTGGCTGAGTGTGTAAATCCTATTGAATCAACTATCGTTCATTTGAGGAAAGAAACTTCATCACATTCCATAGATAAAAGAAGAAAAAAAATTATCGTCAAAATTATAAATAATTTTAAATTAATTTAGAAATGAAAGTTTGAACTTGAAATTAGTATCAAGATTAGGACAACTTAGAACATTGAATATAAACTTTATAAATACAGCTATAATAGTTGTCTTCTTATTAGGTGGAGATACAATACTCTTGCAACCTATCTCTTATAGCTAAAAAGGTTTTAAATAAAAGTTCCAAAGAAAATAGTAGATAAGAAAGTGATGAAGGGAAAAAAGAAAAAAAGAAAAAAGTGTTGAATAAGTCAACCACTTTTCAACCTCAACAACTAGCTTAAATTCTTATACGTTTGTTTTTCTATAAAAAATTTTATTTTGTTAATGAAAAGTCAAGGAAAAGAAAAAATATTTTTGTTTTTCGTTAAAAATTATTTAGACTTTACAAAAAGTTAAACTTAAAGCAACAAATAATTTTCTAAAAAAAGTTATTTAAAAGTTATTAAATTAAATCAAATTGTTACTATTAAAAAAAAAAGCATAACGTTATTATTTAAACGATGAAAAATAGTTAAATAGATCCATGCTGGCTGTTCTTCTAGTGAACATGGCCCTTGGCTGTTGTGGCTATAACGAAGATATAACCCATTGTTTAAGTACTAGAACACCCTACTTACTCAAAGATATCAGAGACCCAACGCTGGACCATTTCACTGTGGTTCATGCAGAGTTAGTCCAGCGACATGGCTCTCGATATCCAACATCAAATGACATAAATGCAATGAATATGATGGCTGAAACATTTGCTGAAAATTCTAAAATTACATGGAAAAACCCATTTCCAATGGAAATGGAAGGAGAGTTATGTGACAGAGGAAAACAAGAATTATTTAGTTTGGGAAAATATTATAAGGGTGAATTTAAAAAGTTATTTTATGGGAAATCTTTACTTAATATTAACGTTACTGCTACCTTTAAAAAGAGGACTCAAGATAGTGCTATAAGTTGGTTAGAAGGGTTTTATGATGATGAACCTGAAAAAAAACAAATGGTTATTGATAACAAAATAAATATTACTGTTGTTCCTAAAGACAAAGACACTCAGTTGTACTTTCATAAAAATTGTAGAAGATATGTTGAATATGAAAAAAGTAGTTCAACACATAAACAGTCTAACCAATATGCTCAAATGAAATTAAATGAAACGGCAAATAGATTTATAAAAGCAATTGGAATGACTGATATTGATGAAAGTACTAGTAAAAGTCTTACACAACTTGCTTTCACTGCTGGAGCACATGAGTATGTTGTATTTAATAAAAGTGATGGACTATTAAAGTATTTTAATATTAGAGATGCACATATAATGGAGTATATCAAAGACTTAGAAACATATTATACAAAAGGTAATTCTAGTGAGTTAAATTATAAAATTGCAATCCCTCTTTTGGACTCTATTATTAATGGATTAAAATTAGCTGTTGTAAATGATAAAAATATTCAATTAACAAAACAGGAGAATAATATTCTTGGTAATTTTAGATTTGCACATGCAGAAACTGTTACTCCCTTAATGACTTTAATGGGAGTTAATATTGATCAATTTGCTTTAACTGTAAAATTAAATGAAGCAAAAAAGAATCAGAGAAAATGGAATATGTCTAAGGTTAGTCCATATAGTGTCCATTTCATGTTTGTTCTTCTAAAATCAAAAAAAGGACAATATTATGTAAGAACTTATTTTAATCAAGAAGCTATAGTTTTACCTCCTTGTGGATCAGAAATTTGTTTATTTGAGGATTTTGTGAAGTACTATGGAAAAATTACAAAAGACTTTGATTATAATACATTTTGTTCAAATTAATATTTATATTACCTACTTCGTTTTGGTAATTTGTTTTAAGTAGAATCAAATTAAGTATCATAATCGGTAACAAGAAAATTCTTCTTAAAAGTAAAATAAATGACAAAAAGAATAATTTTATTCTCTAGTAATATTTAATATAAATTTATAGGTTAATCTTTAAAGGAATGAATGTTCAAAAAAAAAATTAAATAAACGTCATTCATTATGACGAATAATATCATAAAAACTCTAAATATGTAAATTACTTTTCTGTATCTTTCAATATTCAAAATATTTAAAAATCATTGTGTAAAAAAAGTCATAAACCAATTAACTAAATATAAATAAAATTAGTTTTGATTTTTCCTTATTTATTAGGAATTAATACTATTATTGTTACCGAATTATTCATTCATATTTATTGTGACTAAAACCAATGCTCTATTATATTTATCTGGTTTTTAATAACATAATTTTTAACTTATTTGTTATTATCTTTTTCATTTTCAATTCTTTATTTTTTTTGATACTTCCTACAAAAAACAACAAGCATTACAAGAAACAACACAAAAAATAAAAATAAGTATGTCATCTATGATTAACCTAATAGTTCATTTTCATCATACTGAGAAGTGAGCAAACTAGTTTCTTCAACATGCTTTATTTTTATTGATATAAAGTTTTTTCAAGCACGTTCGACTTAAGTTACAATAAACACCACAAAAAATATAGAAAAACTAATAACCAAAAAAGAAGAAATTCATATCAACCAAGAAATACAAATGATAGAAGAATGAGTGAAAATAGGTATTATCTGTATGGACAGAGATACATGAATAATCATACTAATCATTACAATAAGAATTATCACAATAACTATCACAACATAGATGATATAATTTATTTCACTCATCACTTCATTCATAATCATCGTCATAAACACTTTCATAATAATAACAACTTCAATAGAAATAAACAATATCAATATAATAGAAATAAATACCATAATAAAAAACAAAGAAGGTACAAACATTATCAAAATAAGAAACAAAACAGAAATCAAAGAAAAGAAATGATTGAAATACAAAATCAAGATTATTGGAAAAGACTCTTTGAAGAAGAAATTAAAATATTTTTACCACAAGAAGTAGAAGAAATTAAAAATACCGAGATTAAAGAATATACATCATCAACAATATGGAGAAGATGGTATTTTCTTGCACGAGAAAAAACCAAAACAATTAGAAAGGAAGAAGAAACTATTAGTATGACGATTGAAGAAGACAATAATCAATACAACCAATTGAGATTAATGATAATAAAACATATAATAACTATGTAATGAGTATTGAAAATGAAGACAATGATGATAAAGAATTTAATAAAAAGGAGAGAAGAATAGGCTGGTAGAAGAGGAAGAAGAAAACAAAGAAAAGGAGAAAAAGTAAAAGAACTAGAGAAAGAATGTAGGAGGATATGAAAGAGAAAGAAGAAATGAAAAAGGAAATACAAATAAAAGACCAAACCATTAATAAATTAACAAAAGGATATTATGGCATTAAAGAAGAAGCATGAGAAGGAGATAAGCACAAAAAACCACGAGTGCGATAAAAAATATTCAAATTCCATGCTGAATCTGAAAGGAAAATATTTGAAGTAAACAATTTAACACAACAATTAATACTCTTGAAAGATAAATTATCTAAATTAGAAAATAAAAATACACAGGAAGAAAAGAAGAAAGATGAGGTAACTTACAATATAACAGACTCATCAGAAACACATATTGTGAATGACCTCTCCCCCAATGTGGTAGTAGCTGATGAAATATCATCAAGTGAAGATGATCTTCCAAAAAAAAAAGAAAGTTAACGCAGAAATCCATTGAAGAAATGGATATTCAGCATAAGAAGATCACCACATTTGAATTAGACAATCAAAAAAACGAGGGAAGCAAACAGATAGAAAAGAAGAAATTTTAACACTTTATAAATGTTTTGTTTTGAAATTATTTGAAAGAAAATTAAGAGGTCAACTTAAAGAAGAAATAATAGAAAGATTAATACATGAATTTGGAATTAAAGTAAATGATATTAATGAATATAAAGAAATATTAAAGAAGACGTTTAAAATAAAGAATGAAATTAAATGAGAAATTAATAGAATAATGGAGGAAGAAATAATAAAACATCAATGGAAGGATAATGAATTAAAAGAAAATAGTATCAAAAGTGAACAAGAAAGAAGAAATATAAGAAGAAGTAATGAAAATATTTAAAGAAGAAGAAAAGAAAGAACAAGAAGATGTACAATTTATTAATTATTATTACAATAAGAAGAAAATACATCAAATAATTAATATTATTAATAAAAATGAAATATTAATCAATACATTAGATGAATATTATCATTATATTAAATCAGTATCTTCCACTATTAACATAATTAATAAAAATAAACAAGAAAGAAGTTGAAAGAAAAGTATAGAAAGAATAATACAATCAAAAATATGTAGATTAAGAGATTTACTCCATAATAAACAATACATGAAATTAAAAAGAATAATATATTAAGAAAAATGATATATATCATATTAAAATAAAAACAAATGAACAAATAAACTATTATAAATACCTCCGAAAGATGAAAAGAATAGAAATAGAAGCAAGAAAGAATAATTTGAAAAGAATAAGATTGAAATATAAAATGATGAAATATTGGAAAAAGACAACATCTAAATAAGCCTAAAGAAGATGAATATCCAGATAATATCTCCACTATTAATTTCTGGAAAGGAATCTATGAAACTAACACTAATATAGATTTCCTGAATATTAATTTATATGAAATATTAATTGAAAATAGAATTAATGATAGAATGGCTATAATCACTCCAAATGAACTAGATTGTACTATTAAATTTATTGCTAACTGGAAGGCACCGGGAGTTGATAAAATACAATGATTTTGGATTAAATATTTAGAACAACCAATGAAATATTTATTAAAATTATTTAATGAATGGTTAAATAATCATAATGAAATACATATTCACTTTATTCAAGGAAGGACAATATTAATATATAAGAAAGGAGATAAATTAGACCCACAGAATTACAAACCAATAACTTGCTTAAATTGTCTGTTAAAAGTATATACATCAATATTAAAAATGAAAATAGAAAATCAGTTGATGTTAAATCAAATTGAAAAACAACTTTCATTAAATCAAATTGGATGTAAGAAATATACATATCATCAAAAGAATGATTATTATATAACATTATAATCAATCAATTATTAATAAATAATAAATGGAAGTGGGTAGAAACATATTATGACGTCTCCAAAGCATATGATAGTATTAACCACCAATGGATTAAACAATGATTAATATATTTTAATATCCCACTAGTAGTAATTAATAGTATATTATATATATTAAATAATACATATCTTAATTTGTATTATAATCAAGAAAGTGTAGGTATGATTAATGTAGAAAGATGAATAATACAAGGTGACAGTTTATCTCCACTCTTATTTGTATTATCTATTGATATATTATCTAAACAATTAGATAAACAAATTAACAAATTGAATATTAAAATGAATGGAGAAGAAAAACAAGTCAAGTTAAACCACATATTGTATATGGACGATTTAAAGATAATGACTAATAGCCTCGATGAAATGGAAAAAGCCCACAAATTAACTAAAGAAATATTTAATGCAATAGGATTAAAAATTAATGTAGAAAAGAGTGGGATAATGACTAATATTAATAGTCAAATAAATGGTGAATTAGCTGAACTACCAAGAGTAACTAATAATAATCATTATAAATATCTTAGTATTGAAATATGAGATAAAGTAAACATCAACAAATACTGTACAAGAATATTAAATGATATATCTTCTATTCTATCATCATTAAATACTATGAAGTACAGCAGCCTCAATACAATAAGAAAGATTAATAGTGATATAATCTCCAAATTAAGATATGGATTTTGTATTGTCACATGGAAACTAGGAGAATTGGAGAAGATAGATAAACAAATAAGAAAATCATTAATTCACCTCCAATTATATAGTAGAAATATTCCCAAAAAGTAGATTATATATTAAAATAAATGAATTGGGATTAATGTCAGCAAGAGATGAATGTGCTTAAAAATTATTAAGAATATATTTAAAATACAAATATCAAACACAGAAATATGAGAAACGATAGAAACAATAAAAGAAAATCCAAATGGAATAATTAAAAGAATGAAGAAAGCATTTGGTAAAAAGATTAATTTTAATGAATTAATGAATATAATAGAATTAAATGAAAGAAAACATGATGTAAAGAAAGTATTTGAATTTGTAACTAATGAATGTAATGATATATACTTAAATGAATGGAAAGAAAAGAAATGTGGTGAATATATAAGATGTGCAAATAGCACTTTCATTGATAAGAAATTAACAGTAGCCACATGGAGGTCATTAAACATAAAAAGAAATGCATTCTTCAAATAGTAAAGATGCAAGAAGGAGTAAGTATGACAGGAAATATTAAATCAAAAATACTACAAAATGATGATTTAAAATATTGTAAACATTGTCATAACACAATAGCATCTATTAGTCATATATTGTTAGGATGTCTTGTAATGAAAAAGAATCAAATATCAAAACATGATTATGTTTGTAAACAAATATTTAAACAGATATTAATTACACATTTTAATGAATTTGATTCAATTGATTTTAATAATCCTCCAAAATGTATTAATAATGATGAAATGGTTATAACTTACAATAAAGATTTATTGGTTAGTGACAATTCTTTCCATGCTAGAAGACATAATATATATTATCAAAATATTACAGAAAAGAAAGGATATATTATAGATGTTGCTATATGTCAAGATATGAATATAGAATTAAATTACATTCATAAAATAAATAAGTACAAAGAATTACAAGAGAAATTAAGAAATAATAGAGAAATAATATATGTTGAAATAATACCTGTTATATTATCAATAAATGGATTAATTCATAAAGAGTCACCAAGAAGAATAAAATCACTGAAATTACAATTAGACTTTGCCAAAATCCTACGAACAATTATTATAAAAAATATGAAAGACTTAATGTTTTACACATTCAATTCTGGCAGCACATTTAGAATTAGAATCAAGTGCGAGTATGTTAGAAATAAACTCTATTACACCAATAGAGCATATTGAAGAAACTGAAATAATCATTTCTCAATATGAAGAAAATCTAATTATGGATATATCTATTAATTGACCTTTTTTTTTCAGAGAAGAACTGGATAATTTGAGTATAACAAGTTCATATGAAAACAAAGATATTAGTAACCCTTTCTATATTTTTAGTAGTTGTTTATTTATATTTATTGTTATATCATCCAAATGAAATTCCATTCAAATATGAAACAAAACATATCCAACCGCCACAACCAAAGTACAAGAACAAGTTTTTTGATTTATCCAAATTCAATTACAAAGAGAGTTGTGGAAATGTTTTTCAATATCAACCAAGTAATGCACAAGATTTAATTTTATATTGTGGTTCTGTTGAATTGGGTGCATGGAAGGAAATAAAGAAATACTCTGATATAATACAGCCAATGATAAATGAAGTTATGCCAAATGTTACAAAAGTGTTTCTCCTCATTGGAAAACCTCCAACAATAACATTTTTAGAAGAAATGAAAAGATATGGAGTGAAAGTTATTCAAAGGGCAAATAGTTCTCAAGAAGTATCAAAGAATGTTGCAGTAGTTCAAAGAATTTTTGTTTCATTAGAGTACTTAAAAGAAAATAAAAACAAGTATAACCGAGTAATATTTTCTGATTTTAGAGATGTTTTCTATTTCAGTGATGCGTTTGCAACGTTCACAAAAGATGATTTAATTCTTTTAATGGAATGTTATGGAATAAATTCAAGAAAATGTACAACATTTACTGAACCAACTAATTTTAGATGGGTTCAACAAGGGTTTGGAAGAGAAACTGCAAGTTTATTTGCAAAACGTAAAGAAATCATAATAAATGGAGGTCTTTTCTTTGGTGGAATTGATAAAGTTATTGAACTATTAACAATTGAAGTAAAAAATATTAAAGGAAAAAGGCTTAATTGGGGTCTTGACCAAGCAGCACTTAATTATGTATATTATACTGGACAACTAAACCACTTGAGTGTTACTAAAGAATTTTGTTCTCAACGTATTTGTTTTACAGAGGCTGTTACTAGTGTATATAACCATTCAGCGAAAACACTCGTTTCAATTCTAAATGGATGTTCTCCAGTTATTAGACATAAAATTCATCTTGGTAATATACCATTTCCTTAAAACTACATTACTTTGTTCATTTTTTTTGGTAAAATTTTGTTAAAAAATAAAAAATTCTTTTTATATGTTTTATTACTTTTTGTTTCAAATGAGTTTCAATTAAATGATATTGATATTGTAGTATAACATTAACTTTCTTTAATTTAAAAAAAAGGTTTGGTAATTTAACTTCATTTTTTTCTTTTTGTCTTTTCTACGTATATTTTGTCTCTTTTTTCATTCTTACATAACGAATTTAATAATTATTTTTCAATAATATTAATGTTTAACTAACAATGAATGTAATTTACTATGTATTTTAATTATTTTTATAACTTTTTTAGATGGATTGTATAGAGTATAAGAAAAACAAACAATGATTGTAACAAAAGAAGAAACAAACAACACACCTTTCAAATGTAAATGATAAAAATACAACAATTATAGTCACAGTAAGAATTAATATATAATCATCATAATAATTAGCTAAAAATGATAAGAGTTATTTCACTCATTAATTCAAACAACTTTATATTGATAAAAACTACTTTAACAATAATTTAATTGACATAAATACATATTATCAAATTAAAATAAAAGTCATAATAAAATACAAAAAACGATATAAACAATATTAAAAAAACAAATAAATGAATAAAAAGAAATAATAGAAGTAATAAAAGATATTTCTTTTGAAAAATTCTAAGAATGAAGAAAGTACTAAATAAGATGATTAGTACTAATGCATTAATAAATGTATTACAATTAATTGAAAACACATATAAATAATGTGTTTGATTGGATTGTAAATAAAGTTGAAATTAAAATAAAATAGAAAAACACATAAAAAGAAATAATCACCATAACATTAATAATAAATTAGGATATTATAAGTAATAAAATTACAAGTAGGTTTCAATAAAACGATATGAATAATTATGATTAAAACATAACATAAGTAATATTTTACATATTCAACTTCATTAATATAATTCTGGGATTATGGTAAAACAATGATAAACATGAACTTAACTTTATAATTGAAAAAGAGGATTGTTAATCACTGAAATATTCAATTCTCAATATCCATAAAATCTAGTTAAGAATATATTCATTAAAAAAAAAAATATAAAAAATATAAAAAAGATAAAATATAAACTATTAAATGGTAAATAACAATACTATTAGTTTTAAAGAAAAAATAAACACAAACTCATAACATATAAAAAATAATAAATTAACTTATAAATTATTATTATATATAAAGAAATAAACTTCAAAAAATAATGTCACTGAATGAAAACCATACTTGATAGTCACTTCTTCGATGAAACTGAAAAATTTTTTGAAGCGATAGAACCTTATCTTATTTCTCTTGAAAACAAAAGGAAACCACAACCCGCAGTAATAGAAGAAGATACCTATAAAAGAATTGATAACAAAAGAAAAGAATTCAATGAAATAATAAAAGAAATAAAACAAACAACAGAATTTATCTCATTTTGTGATTATCTTAGTGATAAATTAAAGTGGTATGTTGAAAATCAATTGAAGAGAGCTAAAGAAGTAAAAGAAGATATTATGGATGATATTGAAACCTCATCTACTAAAGACAAAACAGTTAACTCTAAAGAGCTTTTAAACTTATGTCCCAATACTGATCTGAATAATATAATTCCATGGAAAACTAAATCAAATACTCAAACAAAAACAAAGAAAACAAAAAAAGCAAAGAAAACAAAGAAAACAAAAAAAAATAATAAAGTTATTGATGATAGTGAAATTAAATTATTACAAAGTGATTGCCTTAAAAAATGGACTGGAAAAAAACAATGTGAAGAAATTTATAATTCAGAAAAATTAAAATTTGATGGTAAAGAAATGAACGAAAAAATAAAAGGTAAAAAAAATTTGGCATTTGTTGTAATGAATGAAAGTGATATGTTTGGTTGTTATTTAGAGGATAAAGTTGATTTTGATCATTGGATTTATGATGAACATCATTTTGCTTTTAGTTTTGCACATAAAGGAGAATTAAGTAGTGTTTGTGTTTATCCTAAACAGAAGGTAGGAATGAAGTTAAATAGCAATAATTCTAAAATACTATTTTCATTTGGAAATGAAGAAACTGGAAGTGTTACAGTTAGTACATTAAAAGAATATGGAGAAACCAAAACTATTAAAGAGTGTTATGAATTTAAAAATACAAATGATATTTTTGACTCTAAATTTAAAGTAGAACAAATTATTATCTATGAATTATTAGACTAAATGATTAATAATAATTCAATTAAAAAAGAATTTATTCATTTTTCTTTTTAAATAAGTTAAATGGCAAAGAAAGAATCATCATAAGAATATGAATAACACTAAATAGACAAATATTTATTATAAAAATACTACAAATAAAAATTAATGGAATTGGAATTGTAGATGTTACTACATCTATAAACTTACAAGAAATACTTTCACATTCCCATGAAATATCTTTAGCATCTAATGATATAACACCATTAAATCTCTCATTATGAACTAATTCTCTTTCAGTGATAGAATGAAGTAATTCTTCAATAATATCAGGTCTATCACTTGTTAAACCATCACATTTCTTTCCAATACAAATAGCAGCATCTCTTTTATTATTAATAGTAAAATACATAATTTCTAAATCAATTTTTGGTAATATTTGTAACATCTTTTTATCCAAAAAATCAATACCTCCAAGAGAAATAAATGGCACATGAAAAAATCTATTTTCATTTGGAATAAAATGATACCAAAGATTAGTTATTCCTAATGATGTAGCAATAACATAACCAACCGCATCTATTTCACTTGCCTCATAACATAATTGATGATTAGTTTTTTCTTTAAAATAACTAGTCATTGTATGATTTGCACAACAAAAACACATAAACTTCTCATATCCAGAAAGAGTATTAAGATAATCTACTAATTTGTCAATAACTGTAAGATCTCTATCTTTAATTTCAACGGACATAATAACATTTTTATCTTTAAATTCTTCATACCCCTCTCTTAAAGTATTACAATGAATTCCTTTTCCTCTATACGGATATCTTTTACCATCAGTAAACCAATAACCAAAGTCAAGTTGTTTTAATTCAGCTAATGTATAATCTTTAATAAATCCAGTTCCATTAGTTATTCTTTCTAATGTATCATCATGAATAAATATAAATTCTCCGTCTTTAGTAATATGAATATCTGTTTCTATCATATCTGCATCATAGTTTTCATAACTATACCTCATTGCCTCAATAGTATTTTCTGGTTTAATTCCTCTTCCTCCTCTATGTGCAACAATGGCTGGTTTGTGTTTTAATTTCATATTCTTTGCATTACTTGATAATAAACTTCTTGGTTCAAAGATAGAATTTGCATAATATATTCCTCCAACAATTATAATAGTTAAGACAAAAGCATTTCTAATTACTTTCATTATACTGTTTCAAAATAACTTATTTTAGGGTTTAAAAAGTCCGATTTTAAATAATTCCTGGTTTTTATTGCGGGTTTTTTCTTTTGTTATTCTTTTTGGAAGAATTATTATTGCATAAGAATATTAATAAAAATATTCTTTATATTCTTCTTATCAAATAATAATAAACAAGTCTGTTAGTTAATAACCTTAATTAAAAAATTTGTCTTTTTGATATTCTTATTTAAAGTTCCTTCTTTCATTGGTAGTGCAATTAAATTTGTTCATTCATGTTTTATTAGTTATTAAAAGGAAAAACGGTTAGTCTAATATCGGTTCATAAAAAATTACTGAAAAATTTTGAACTAAATGACTAAAATAAATTAAGTCCAAAAAAAATCTACTGTGATAAAACTTAATCGTAATTAAGTCATTTGTAAATAATAAATATGAAAATTTCTACATAAAGAAGAAGAAATTATCACGTTATTAAAACTAAAAAATTAATTTTTGAGTTCATTAATACTGTTATTTTTGAAATTTATTCTTGGATGAACTTAATAAGTTTATTCTAATTCAATGGGATTATTTGGGCATAAGAAAAAGGATAAAGATGATTCTAAACGCAAAGGAGCAAATGCACCACCCCCTCCTCCCCCTGCTGGTGCACCACCACCACCTTCAGGAGGAATGCCACCACCCCCTCCTCCCCCTGCTGGTGCACCACCACCACCTGTTGGAATGCCACCACCACCATCAAATCATAGCATGCCAAAACCTTCATCTGCTGGTAGAGGTGATTTATTGTCTCAAATTCAAAAAGGAAAGAAATTAAATAAATGTGAAACTATAGATAAATCAAAACCAATGATAGAACAACCCAAAGGTGGAATGGGAGGAGGAATGCCTATGGGAGGAGGTAATCCTATGATGGCAGCTATTGCTGCAAGAGGTAATCGAGGAGGACCTGCACAACATTCAATGGGAGGAATGCCATCAAGAGGTGCACCAGCACCACGAGGAATGCCATCAAGAGGTGCACCAGCGCCAAGGGGAATGCCGTCAAGAGGAAGAGGAGGAATGATGCCGCCAACACAAGCACCAGAACCTGAAGAACAAGAAACACCAGTTATGCATACAGCACCACGAGGAATGCCACCAAGAGGAAGTCCAGCACCAAGAGGTATGCCAAGGGGTGGTCCAAGAGGAGCACCAAGAGGAAGAGGAGGAATGATGCCACCAACACAAGCACCAGAACCTGAAGAACAAGAAACACCAGTCATGCATACAGCACCACGAGGAATGCCAAGGGGTATGCCATCAAGAGGAAGTCCAACACCACGAGGTATGCCAAGGGGTGGTCCAAGAGGAGCACCAATGGGAGGAATGATGCCACCTCCTCCTCCAAGTAATTGTCCACCACCTCCTCCATCAAACAACTTACCACCACCTGGTCCTGCTAATGTACCACCACCATCATCTGCTGGTAGAGGTGATTTATTGTCTCAAATTCAACGAGGAACTAAATTGAAGAAAACTACAACAGTAGATAAATCAGCACCAGCTATTGGCAAGTCAAGCAATTCATCATCAAGTGGAATGGGAGGAGGAATGCCTATGGGAGGAGGTAATCCATTAATGGCAGCTATTGCTGCACGAGCAAACAGAGGAGGATCTACACCACATCCAACACGAGGAGCACCAGCACCACGAGGAATGCCATCAAGAGGAAGAGGAGGAATGATGCCACCAACACAAGCACCAGAACCTGAAGAACAAGAAACACCAGTTATGCATACAGCACCACAAGGAATGCCACCAAGAGGAAGTCCAGCACCAAGAGGTATGCCAAGGGGTGGTCCAAGAGGAGCACCAAGAGGAGCACCAAGAGGAGCACCAAGAGGAGCACCAAGAGGAGCACCAAGAGGAGCACCAAGAGGAGCACCAAGAGGAAGAGGAGGAATGATGCCACCAACACAAGCACCAGAACCTGAAGAACAAGAAACACCAGTCATGCATACAGCACCACGAGGAATGCCAAGGGGTATGCCATCAAGAGGAAGTCCAGCACCACGAGGTATGCCAAGGGGTGGTCCAAGAGGAGCACCAATGGGAGGAATGATGCCACCTCCTCCTCCAAGTAATTGTCCACCACCTCCTCCATCAAACAATCTACCACCACCTGGTCCTGCTAATGTACCACCACCATCATCTGCTGGTAGAGGTGATTTATTGTCTCAAATTCAACGAGGAACTAAATTGAAGAAAACTACAACAGTAGATAAATCAGCACCAGCTATTGGCAAGTCAAGCAATTCATCATCAAGTGGAATGGGAGGAGGAATGCCTATGGGAGGAGGTAATCCATTAATGGCAGCTATTGCTGCACGAGCAAACAGAGGAGGATCTACACCACATCCAACACGAGGAGCACCAGCACCACGAGGAATGCCATCAAGAGGTGCACCAGCTGGAGGTATACCATCAAGAGGTGCACCAGCTCCTAGAGGAATGCCATCAAGAGGAAGAGGAGGAATGATGCCACCAACACAAGCACCAGAACCTGAAGAACAAGAAACACCAGTTATGCATACAGCACCACGAGGAATGCCAAGGGGTATGCCATCAAGAGGAAGTCCAACACCACGAGGTATGCCATCAAGAGGAGCACCAATGGGAGGAATGATGCCACCTCCTCCTCCATCAAACAACTTACCACCACCTGGTCCTGCTAATGTACCACCACCATCATCTGCTGGTAGAGGTGATTTATTGTCTCAAATTCAACGAGGAACTAAATTGAAGAAAACTACAACAGTAGATAAATCAGCACCAGCTATTGGCAAGTCAAGCAATTCATCACCAAGTGGAATGGGAGGAGGAATGCCTATGGGAGGAGGTAATCCATTAATGGCAGCTATTGCTGCACGAGCAAACAGAGGAGGATCTACACCACATCCAACACGAGGAGCACCAGCACCACGAGGAATGCCGTCAAGAGGAAGAGGAGGAATGATGCCACCAACACAAGCACCAGAACCTGAAGAACAAGAAACACCAGTTATGCATACAGCACCACAAGGAATGCCACCAAGAGGAAGTCCAGCACCAAGAGGTATGCCAAGGGGTGGTCCAAGAGGAGCACCAAGAGGAATGCCAAGAGGAAGAGGAACTGCAATGTGAATTTGATGATGAATATTAAGAAGAGATTCATTTCCAAGTCTATTTGGTTCAAGTATATTTTAAATAAGTACAGACTATGAAAAAAAAAACAATATTACTACAATTTTATGAAATAGAACATATTTTTTTCAAAAATACATAAACAGCGAAAGAAAGATGAACAAAAATTAGTTAATTAAGTGTTAATAGTTTTTCATCTATTCTTCCGAGTTTAGTGGAGATTAATCACTTCTTTCAATTTGTTGTTTTAATCATTAATCTCTCTGTTTAACTTCTCATTTGGTTTTCTATAATAATATATGAAAAATATACTTCTTTGATTTCTTCTTATTAACGTCTTCTCATCCTTCTGCTCTTTATTCTTTAATCTTTTTACCTTTTTCTTTGTTTTCTGATTGAATTTTAACCTTTTTCATTTCGTTTATTCTATGAATGATTGAATCATCAGACTATTTCATTCCCACTTTTTATCAATTTTAGTCTTAACCTCTCATTCCCAATTCCTTTCCTTAGCTAATGTGTATTTCTTATTTTCTTTATGATTAAACACTGACTCTTATATCACATTTTCTATTATTCTACCTTAATACCCTGCTACTCTATTTGCTTTATTACCTAATCTATTTCTAATTCAATGGCATGGTAATAATCAGATAATATCACTGAGAGTTAATCTTGAATTCTATTAGTGTTTGTAATATTTCAAACTTGCCATTTTCAATCTATAATAACTAATCTAAAAAACAAAAACAAGAAAGAAAATATAATACAGCATAACTAAGTTAATAAAAAATAGATAGTTAAGTGGTAATAAAATTGTCATTTATTCATTAATAGATACTATTCACATCATATATCATTAAATTAAATGATTTGTTTTATGTATTATTTAGTGTTTCTTCTTATTTTATGAAGAATTCCTTGTATTTCTTTTATTGTCTTTTCTGCTGTCTCTTTATTTCTTCTTTTTTATCTTCTTCTTTTTTATTTCAATTTGAAATATCTTTTTTACTTCATTTTTCCTTATTTAATGATATTTGATTATTTCATTATTATTATATTATTCTGTTTAATGACTTTGATATTAACATCTTCATTTATACCATTTTCTTTTGTTATTATTCTTGCGTATTCCAATTTCATTCATTACACTTTTAATTAATATATTTCCTCTTCAAAGAAAACATCATAATCAAATAATAAGTATAAGAATCAAAGCATGAATTTGTATTAGGGTTTATGTGCTGGTTCTGACTTGTCAATTTCGAATCTAGGAAATAAAAAATAGAATATTAGAAATAAAAAATATTAATATCAAAGAATTATATTAGAAGATACAATTTTTATTTTAACAAAATTAACCAAAACACAGAAGAGACAAAGATACATTTTTGCTTTGAGTTTAAGAAGAAAGAGAAAAGACTTAAAAATATCAAATGATCAAGATTGAATTAAAGATAATTGAAGCTAAAAACTTAAAGGGTTCTGATTTTTGTGGATTATCAAGTGATCCTTATTGTAAGGTCATCAGTAGACAATGCACTCAACAAACTCATGTATGTAAAATGACAAGAAACCCATCATGGAATAAATCATTCAATATGGATGTTACTATTGGAGAAGATCTTAGATTTGAAGTATATGATTATGATAATTTCGGTAAAAACGATAACCTTGGAAGCACCCATTATCGTGTATTAGGTGGTAGTCCGGGTCAAGTGGTTGATACTTGGTTAGGTCTTTCAAAAAAGGGTGAGATCCATATCCAAATTATATATGGCTTAACAGTTGGTGCTCCAGTACATAGATGCCCACCACCAATGGGAGCTTATCCACCACCACCTATGGGAGGATGTCCACCACCAATGGGAGCTTATCCACCACCACCTATGGGAGGATGTCCACCACCTATGCCAGGACCAGGAGGATATCCAATGGGAGGATGTCCACCACCTATGCCAGGACCAGGGGGATATCCAATGGGAGGATGTCCACCACCTATGCCAGGACCAGGAGGATATCCAATGGGAGGATGTCCACCACCTTACTACAACCCATTCTAATTTATTGAATTAAATATCATTTTTCCTTTTCTCATTTTGTTTTTTATAAAAAGGATGAGTTATAAATTTGTTATTCTTCTTTAATAAAATTGTTTCATAAATTTTTTGAATATTTAAATGTAATTTTGAAGAAATTTCTTATTTCTTGTTTTTATTTAAATGGAACAATAAATATATTAAATAAATAATTCACTTTTCTTTTAGATCAACAACAGAGATATAATAGAAGATATTCTCATTGAATAAACTCATATTCATTAGATGGTATTATTTATTTAAAAAAATAAAATTCTTTTAGTATTAAAAAACAAGGTTCTGCATATAATTCTACTATGCAAAGTTATGAAATAAACAATTTAATAGATGTTTATGTTTTTATAAAGAAAAGACTAATTATAATAAAAGCAATTAGCTAAATATTAATACAATTAGCTTCGATTGTTTCTGGCTTAGGGGAGACTAATCCCAATGAGTCTTCTTATAGCAGCTCTACAGAGTATGTTTGTATGTAATTGAATCAGTATTCCAATGACATCCTTCATGTTTTTAGTTATGTGGCTTTTAACTTATTTAACGTTGTTAGTCTCATTTTTTATTCCTTTATTTAATTTAATACTTTCTTTATTTACTTTTCAATTTATTGAAATTACTACTGGAATTATTTTGACATCTCTTAATTTCTCTATTTTATTCTTTGTTTCATTATGTCTATGTCTTTTCTTCATTTATTCTAAAGTAATATCGTTATTTGGGTATATTTCATTTTTTGGGTCTTTTTTCCTTATTCTAATTTTCTTGTTAGAATCAAACATGATTTTATTTGTATTGATTCTGACCCTTTCTTCCTTATTAAATTTAATTCTTTCTTTTATCATTGTCATCATATATTTTAGGTACTTTATTCTTTATAGTGATTTAACTTTTATTCATTCTTCATCATATTCTTTTAATTTCATGTTGCATTATATTCTGTACCATTTCCTTCCCTTGACTAAATCTTCTAGTCTATTGATTTTCTTTAGGATTTCTTTTATTTCATCATTTTTATCTCTTATTATTTTATTTTGGAGATAGAGGTGCATATAAATTGAAATATTCATATCATCTTGCAGTTCATGCATTCTGCTTCCTGACATTATCCATTTATTATTAATTTCATTTATTAATTCATAAGTTTCTTTTCTTTGAAAGTAGTAATTAATGTTTGTACATTTTTCTATTTTCATTTCTTTAATTTTATTGATGAGAGTTTTAAAGTATTCTTCATCAATTTCTGTAGAGTTATTCTTTATTATGATGTTTTTTATTATTGAATTACACTCTACTCTTCTATTATATCATTTACTTTTACTTTAATGTATTATTTAGTGCTTTCTTTTATTTTATGTGACATTTTAATATATTTAATATATTCATTTTCATTATTGACATTGATGTTTATTGCTTTTATTATACTTTCAATTTGTTCCCATCTTAATTTCTTATATAATTTCTTATTTAACCAATTAATTTCAAAACAATACAACACTTCATTTAAAATTCTATTTCTTCCTTCTGTTGTATTTCTTGTCTGATTATCATCTCTTGTTTGCTATTTATTATTCTTGCAATTTTACATCTTTCATTCATTTCTTTAATTGGTTTTGTTTTTAATTTCTTCTTCAATTATTTTAATGTCTTTTTCTTCATTGTCTTTTGTTTTTAATTTCTTCTTTAATTTTTTCATTTATCTTTTTCTTTTTTATTGAATATACTTCTTGAAGAATATAATACAATCTTGTTCTTTTATCTTCTTACTTCTTAAGTATTTCTTCATACTCCCCTTTATTCCATTCACTTGTTATTCTTTTTGTTCTTTCTTGTTTATCATTTATTGTTAATCATTTATTGTTATTTGTATAATCTTTATTATTATTGTATTTATCTTGTTTTGTTTATTTGTTTTTCTTTGTGTCTTTCGTCTTTTAATCCTTTTTTCCTTGTTATTTCATTTACCTTTATTACTATTGTTGTTATGCTATTGGCATTCATTCTTTTATTGTATGACATTGAATTTTTATATCTTGTTTGTTTTTCTTTACAATACACAAAGGTTTTACTCAATATCCATGAAACAACATTTATTAAGTTTTTTATGGGAAAAGAGCAAATATTTTCTTCATCAACAAAAGAAAAAATTTTTTTAGATAATTAGTTTATTAAAAAGAATAATTAAATATTTCCATTTTATTACTCTGTTTGATAATTAACTATGAGGATAATGTAGTTTTTAATTATATCAGAAAGCGTAAGGATAGGAAAAAACAAAAGATAAAACAAGATTAACAACAACTTATAAAATAATAATAGTTATTTGTTTATTCTTCTTTCTTAGACCGTTGAGTTGATTTAAATAACATTAAAACGTTTTGAATAAACCATTGGAAAAGTACATGTAAATAATAAACAACAAATCCAAATATCCATCCTAAATAATGAACAAATAACATTGCATTTAAACGATAACGTTCTCCTTTCCAAGGTGCTAGAAATGAGTATTAAATAAGTGATAATAAAGAAAAAACAAACAAGAATGTGGGTAATATAACATAAATGACAAATTTAATCCAGTTGCATATGAAAAAGGAACCATAACATAAAAAGCTAATAGAAGGAATAAAAATACACCAAAGAAATAATAACCAAAGAATTGTCTAATTGTTGGACGAGTATTAGTTACATTAAAAACAATTGGCATTAAAAATTGAAAAGTATGTTGAATAAAATACATTGGTTTTTCAAAGAATAATATATTCTTTTTTGTATCAGGAAAAATTAATGCTACAGCAGGAAGACATGAGCAATAATATAGAAATGGGGTATGTTGTGGATAGAAGAACAAAACTATTGACTGGACAAGAAGTACACAATGACACGGCATAAATATTGAAACAATAACACCTCTTAAATATTTGTAAATAAGTTGCATTATAAAGAAAAATATACAAAGACAACCAAGAATATTATAATACCATTTCTTTTCATTTTTATGTACTGTAGATGTTTTAGGAAATATTAAATAACATAGAACTAAATCAACTAAACAAAATGGAATTGCAAAGAGTAATTGATGAACATTTTCTCTTGGGGATACTGTCCAAAATCTTTCATCATCATTTTTGATTGCAATATTAATTAATCCTTGTTCTAATATATCAATAATAGGACTCATCCATGTTTCAATGAATGTATTAAATTGATCCATAAACAAATCAAACATTATTCATTTGTAGATATTAAAAAAAAAAAATGAAAATAAAAAAGGGTTTTATAAATATATCGAAATCAAATTATTTCAAAATAACTTATTTTTAAATATACAGTTCCTTTAAAATTTTTCTTCAATTTAAGACATTAAAATTTAAACAAAAAATATCACTTTAAAACTTCATTTATTTTATGCGAAACACTTAATGAATGCATAAATAATTCCTCCAATACCACAACAAATGAGCCATAATAAGAGACAAATTATAAAGTCCATGTCAAAAGCTCTAGTTTTCCACCAAATAGCCAATGGTGGAATGAAAATACATAAAATAAGAATAATCAATGTATCTGAATCTGAATCTCCCATAATGTTTTATTAATTAATTGCCACAAATTCAGAGTTCCTTTTTTAATAAAATTCCACGTAATGACACATAATGAGTAGTTTATTTTTAAATATTCTAAAATATTCAACTGTTTAACATTCCTTTTTTCATTTATAAAAAAAAAATAACATTAATAAACCCTAATAATAGGGTTTATATAAACCAAAAATTTTCTTTGTTTTATTAAAATACACATTCAGTTCCAATATCCTTATGTGTTTTTGGTTCATAGGTGTGTAATAATAAATGAAGAATTATTTAATCTCTTATTTCATCTAATCTTAAATGTAAGTGAAATATCTATAATTCTTCAACAATTATCTTTTCCTTAAAATTCTTTTATTTATTATTTTGTTCTTGTTAATTAATGTTTTTGTTTTTTAGATTAGTTATTATAGATTGAAAATGGCAAGTTTGAAATATTACAAACACTAATAGAATTCAAGATTAACTCTCAGTGATATTATCTGATTATTACCATGCCATTGAATTAGAAATAGATTAGGTAATAAAGCAAATAGAGTAGCAGGGTATTAAGGTAGAATAATAGAAAATGTGATATAAGAGTCAGTGTTTAATCATAAAGAAAATAAGAAATACACATTAGCTAAGGAAAGGAATTGGGAATGAGAGGTTAAGACTAAAATTGATAAAAAGTGGGAATGAAATAGTCTGATGATTCAATCATTCATAGAATAAACGAAATGAAAAAGGTTAAAATTCAATCAGAAAACAAAGAAAAAGGTAAAAAGATTAAAGAATAAAGAGCAGAAGGATGAGAAGACGTTAATAAGAAGAAATCAAAGAAGTATATTTTTCATATATTATTATAGAAAACCAAATGAGAAGTTAAACAGAGAGATTAATGATTAAAACAACAAATTGAAAGAAGTGATTAATCTCCACTAAACTCGGAAGAATAGATGAAAAACTATTAACACTTAATTAACTAATTTTTGTTCATCTTTCTTTCGCTGTTTATTAAGGAAACATATAAGAAAGAGAAAATGTTATTAATTCAAATGACATTTTGAAGACATTAAACAATGAATAAAAAATATTTTTACATTAATAAGAAACTAAGTTATTGACTTTTACTGAAGAAAAAAAGAAAATAATAAAGTTAGTTAAAAATTAAAAGATATTTTTCAACATCAACAATATCAAATTAACTTAAAAACTAATCAATTAACCTCAACAAGTATGTTAATTTAAGCACTTGATGAAGAAGCAGTAGCAACACATGAATTTTCTCCAGTTGAAGCCATAATCAATGCAACGATAAATCCATACAAAGCAAGAGCTTCTGAGAAAATTAGACAAATAAGCATACCAACAAAAAGTTTTGGTTGTTGTGCAGCTCCTCTTACACCACAATCACCAGAAATACCAATTGCCATACCTGAAGCCAAACCACACAAACCACAAGTTAATCCAGCTCCAAGATCCAAAAAGGCACGATTAAGAGAATATTCAGATTTAGTTACATTAATAAAAAGCAGAATACAAACAATAAGTCCATACAAACCGATAATACCAGCAAAAACAACTGGAGCAACTGATCTCACAATAAATTCGGGCTTCATAACACCTACTGAGCTAATACCAACTGAACTTTTAGCAGTTCCATATGCACCACCAAATACAGTGAAAACAATAGAAGCAGTAATTCCCATTGATCCGAAAAATGGAGAATAAACTGGACATAACTCAGTGACTGAACGAAGAAGGATAGACATCAACATGATTGTTTTGTTTTTTGATGATTTTTAAGATGACTTAAAAGTTCTTATGTGACTAAAAAATAAAAAACTTCAAATAATGAAATAATTACATATTTATAATGTAATTTAAAGGGATTTTTGTATAAAAATGATTAAGTCAAAAGAATTAGTTCTATACAGAAAAAACAATGTAAAGTCATGATAAACAAAAATAAAACATGGAATTACCCTAATTGTTTTTCTTATTCTTTTTTGTTGTATTTATGTTATTATGTTATTTATTATATTTGTTATTTATAACGAATTAAAACAAATAAGAATAACAAAATTATTTTAAGAAAGATTCAATTTTAAGAAGAACTTTAATTATTGAAAGAATAAATAAACTCTAAATTACTTTTTCTTATGAAAGATTGAGAAAGAAAGAAAGAAAAAAAAAAGGATAATCAAAGTACCACGTAGATTGTTCTTACAGAGAATAGTGCTTTCTTATTTCTTCGTTAATGATTAAACTAGGAAAAAAAATTTATAATTTATAAATGACTTTAAAAGAAACTATAAATGAAAAACAAAAAGAACAGAGCGATAATAGAAAATTCTAATAAGAAAAGAAGCGGATAAATTGTTCTATCGAAGAGAAAAAGAATTTGAAGAATTACAAAGGAAAAAATTCTGAGGTGATGGAACCTTTTTTAGTTCGAGTCTTTTAAAGAGATTTTAGTAAAAACAAAGAAAATCAGATCATGTTGGCACTCTTCGCCATCCTCTTTGTTGCGTATGGACAGTACACATGTTCTTCTGCTACAAAATTTAATTTGCCACAGTACCATACATCAATTGTATTTGGTACAAATACACCTAAATCTAAAATTGCACCTGAATCAGGATCATTAAAAGAGGTTCAAGGACAATATTTTGTTACATCAGTTGGAGAAGATATGGAATCTCTTCTTGTTAATATTAATACATGTTTTGCTACAACTAATTTACCAACAGAAATTTACATATTTGATTCATGTAGTGATGAAGGAGTTGCTCAAAATAAACTTGCAGAATCAGGTATTGATAATTCATGTAGTGCTTCTAGTGAATATCCAATTGTTAATTTCCATGCAGTACAAGGAAAAACTTATTATGTATTAGTTAAGTTAGTTGAAGAAAATGTTGATGGTACAGTTTCTATTGCAATTGATCAATCATATGAAGATAATTCACATATTGAATGTGATGTTGCCCGTTCAGTACCAGAAGAAAATGGAGCAAGTATTTTCCCATATTCAGACCAAGCACAAATTGTAAGAAGTCAAGTACCAGAAACTAAAGTAGAATGTACAACCTCAGCACCAACATTATGGTATAAATTTAAGGGAGATGGAAAATATATAGTTATTAATACATGTAATTATTATACTAATTTTGATACAAGACTTGTTGTAGTTGATACTCTTATTAATGGTAAATGTAATGGTGCCAAATGTGTTAAATTTGCTGATGATGGATGTGGAAAAACATCATATTCATCTATTCTTGTTCTTAAAACAGAAGCAGAAAAGATTTATTATGTTGGTGTTTCAGCTGCTGCAAATCAAGAAGGTCAATTTGAAATTAGAATGGATCATTTAGCTGACTCTATTCCATCTGTTTGTTCACGTGCACTTCCAATTCAAGAATTACCATTTTCAAGATCATTTGATATTCCAGATGTATGGCCAACAGGAAAGCCATCATGTATTTCCTATCATACTGATGTAAGACCAGTTTATTTATCATTTGTAGGATATGGAAAACCTGTTGTAATTTCTACATGTAAATCAGTTGATTCTAATTTGAAGCCAATTGGAGTGGCAGTAGAGTTAATAAATAATTGTGAAGAAGAAAAATGTGCAGTCAACACTACTAATTCTAAAGAATTTGGTTTATGTGGTGAAAATAATTATCTTATTGTTAATATGGAAGTAGGAAAAACTTATTATATTAAGGCATATTGTCCAGATGGTCCATGTGATATGACTCTTAATATGTATGAAAAAACTGCATCACATGATAGATGTGATATTGCACTTGAGCTTAATAACCCAGGAGTATTTAGTGAAGCAGCAGTAATTTCAAATCTTGAAGAATCAATTCATGGATGTAATTCAGTTGCTAAAACAGATCCAGGATTATGGTATAAATTTGTTCATACTAAATCTATTACTGATGAAAAATATACTATTTTTGCTATGAATGCACAAAGAAGTAAAATTGGATATATTGAATTTTCTAATGGATGTATGCTTATTGAATGTGAATCTCTTCAACAAGGAGAAGCTCATTTAAGTTTCAGTTCTGACGAAGAATATCAACTTATTTTTGTTTATCCTGATGCTACTGATCATCAACAAGCTTTAATTGTTCAATTCGTTAGTGAAGAATCTACCCCATTCTATAAATGTCAAGATGCACTTGATGTTCAACTTCCATATACTGCTCTTCATACATTCTCTAATACAAAAACAAGACAACTTTGTTCAGGAGAAATGGCACCAGCTAATTATTATAGATTCAGTCTTAATAAAGATATTGGTGTTGATGTTTCTACTTGTTTCCCAAAAACATTAGTTAATACAGCTGTTGAAATTACTAAAGGATGTTATGGAGAACCAACTGCTAAATGTATTGGTTCAAATACTGAAGGAAGAGGTTGTGCTGTTGGAGCAGCTAAATTGTCTGTTGATTTGAATGCAAATACTCAATATACACTTTCTGTATATTCTGAAGCTGTTGCTGCTCTTAATGTTAAACAATATAGAGTTGTTATTTTCTCACTTGAAATTCCAAAAGAGTCAGTATGTGATTCAGCTATTGTCGTACCATATCAAAAGTATTATGCTGATTATTTGATTCTTAACAGATTATCTTACAAAACTGATTTTGGAAGTGTTGGAATTACAAGAGGTAGTTATTTCAAAGTTCAAATTCCAGATGTAGCTTATACTGTTACAGTTAGAACATGCTCTTCAAAGACTACTATGAATTCATTTGTTGCACTTTATGGTAAGTGTATTGTCCAAGGATCATCAGATCAACCAATTTCTGTTCCAAATGAAGATATTGGAATTGCATCATCATCTATTACTAATTGTGATGTCCATGGTACTTATCTCACATTTGACACTGTTCCAAATAAAGAGTATTATGTTTTTGTTGGTCCAGAAAATTTCGCTGAAGAAGGTTTTGTCGATGTTCAATTCTTTATGGATGCTAAAGAAGATCCACAACCAGATGACTCTTCTTCAGTACCACCAACACCATCTTCTTCAACTGATGATAAAGATGATGATAGTCATCATTCTACTCCAGTTGGATGGATTGTATTTGGTGTTCTTGTCTATGTTTTGTTTGCTGGTATTCTTGCTGGATGTGTTATTGCTATCATTTTGAAACGTAGAAGTTCTGGATATGCTACTTTAGCTTAAAACTAATTTTAATACTTTCCAAATAATATTTTTTTTTATTTTTTGTGATGAACTATGGTTAAATGAAATAAATTTAAAAAGAGTTGTTTTCTTATAAACGTAATTAAAAATTATTTGGTATTTTCTCTTTTGTATTTTTTCTTGATTTAAACTTCTTTTTAGGTTAATAAAAATAAATGATTTTTTCATAATTTGTTCTTTTATTTGTTATTGGTATATTATTTATCTATTTAAATTTATTATTCAACATCTTTCTTCTTTTTGTTTTATCATTTTCAATTTCTCTAATTTAATATATTTCAATCATCTTTTTCTTTTATTGTTAGTCGTCATAAGATATTTGAAGTTAATTTAGTACTACTTTTCATTTATTTATCTTTGTTTTTATTTAAAAGTAAGTTAATAAAAAATAGATAGTTAAGTGGTAATAAAATTGTCATTTATTCATTAATAGATACTATTCACATCATATATCATTAAATTAAATGATTTGTTTTATGTATTATTTAGTGTTTCTTCTTATTTTATGAAGAATTCCTTGTATTTCTTTTATTGTCTTTTCTGCTGTCTCTTTATTTCTTCTTTTTTATCTTCTTCTTTTTTATTTCAATTTGAAATATCTTTTTTACTTCATTTTTCCTTATTTAATGATATTTGATTATTTCATTATTATTATATTATTCTGTTTAATGACTTTGATATTAACATCTTCATTTATACCATTTTCTTTTGTTATTATTCTTGCGTATTCCAATTTCATTCATTACACTTTTAATTAATATATTTCCTCTTCAAAGAAAACATCATAATCAAATAATAAGTATAAGAATCAAAGCATGAATTTGTATTAGGGTTTATGTGCTGGTTCTGACTTACATTCTTCATATCATCTTTGATAAATCTGAAAAATAAAATATAAAATTTAATTTATTAATGTCAGATATTCAAGAAGTTGGTGAATCAAATTGGATGATTAGTACTATTGAAAAAGGGACGTTGTTTCTAGGTAGTGTTTATGCAGCAGAAGATGAAGAAGTTATTCAAGAATATCAAATTAAATCTGTACTTTCTATACTTGGGTATGAGGTATATTTACCTAGTGTTATTAAAGAAAAAAAGTGGATTGTTTTAGAAGATTCTTCAAGTGAAAATATAAGCTCTTATTTTACTGAATGTTTTAAATTTATTGATAATGCACTAAAACCTGTATTGGTTCATTGTGAAATGGGGGTTTCTCGTTCTGCTACCATTGTTATTGGTTATTTAATGTATAAAGGAAAGACTTTAAAAGAGGCATATGAATATGTTCAACAAAGAAGAAAAAATATAAGCCCCAATAATGGTTTTATGTATCAATTATATAAATACTCTGAAGAACTTTATCCTCATAATGAAGAAACAATGCTTTTTATATATAATAAGTATGGTAGAAAAGATACTGTTGACAAATTTAATGAAAGAGATAAAAATAAAGTAGAAAGTTTTGTAAATCAATTTAGTGAATGTGAATTTAAGTGGGGAAGTTATTTTAAAACAAAATATAATTATTAAAAATAAATAAATGATTTTTGAAAAGTTATTTTTATTTTTAAATTATAATTAATAATAAGAATAATAAAGAGAACTAATAAAGACATGATGAATAACTTTACATATTACAGTGATAATGTATGGGAAATGTATTATCTGTTGTTTGGAATGATGGAACAGGAACAACTTGACAGTATGTTAAATAATATTGATATAACTTCAAAAGTACTACTTAGATTTTTAAAAGAAAGAGGTTGTAGAAGTGTTAACAGTAATGAATTACTGAGAGAACTTACCAGTGTTGTACAAAGAATGTTTATTTTTGAAAATGAATGGGAGTATTGGATCAATGTATTATATGAATGTTGTACTATCATCAATTTAAATGGTTCAACGTATGATGGTCAATATTTTTACAGTTATTTTATAAAACTTATTAAATTTCAAGAAGAAAGAATGAATGAAGGAATGGAAATATTTTTAAGAAACAATAGAATTGAAGAAAAAGTATGGAAGGTTATTGAAAAATATTTTAAGATAATATACTTTATTAATTATGATAGTGGTAATTATAATATTCATATTACAGATAATGATAGTTATTATAAAATTTGCAAAATGATTCAAAGTTTTTGGGAAGGGGAAAAATGTTTATATCTACAAATTTTTAGTAAGAAGACAATTTCAAGAACATTAAGCCAAAATGAAGAATATGGAAATATTAGTATTTTATATAATATTATTAAAACAAATAAAGTATGTGATGAATATCCTTACAATAAAATATTACTTAATTGCTTTGAACAATATATTGGTACTGTTGGCTATTCATTGTTTATAGAAATCAATGAAATCAGTTATTTTGGTATTTACTTAGCTTATTTACAAATGAAAAAAATTGTGATGGATAAAAATGAATTACTTAAAGTAATTAAAGGAGAATTAAAGTCTAAAGTATTAGACTATAATATAAATGGAATTGTAGTATTAAGACAAATAATATTTGATAAAAAGAGTTGTCATGCATTACGTATTAAACCAGGAATGGAAGACATTTATAAAGGATATGTTAAATTAGTAGAAAAATATCAAAACAAAGGTATTAAAGAAGATATTGATATTGTTAATATTATGAAGAAGTCTAGAGTAAAACGTCAACACTCTCATCGTAAAACTAAAGTTATTAAAACAGTTCCAAGTGAAGAAACAATTATGATTTATAAATGTCTTGATAGTATATTAAATAAAAGGTATGAAAAAGAAGTATTACAACAAATTATTACATTCTTTTGTTCAAAAAGATCTGAGGATATCTATGAGATGATAAAAACAACTATAAATGAACATGGATGGAGTGGAGAACAATATGAGATTATGAAAGAATTTATTGAAAATTATAAAACAATATTTCCCTATGAAGTATATGAAAGTCTAATAAAAGTATTACATGACACCAAAAAATCTAAAATATTATTAATTAAAATAAATAGTTGTAATGAATATAAAATTGAAATTTTAATGTCAATGATGTCAAATCAATGGTTTTGGACAGAAATTGAAAAATTTAGTTATTATCAAACTAATTTTACTAGCCAATTAGCACAAACAATTCAAAAGGTATGTCTTATGACTGATAATATTTCAATTATTGAAAAAGGGATTTGTATAACTACTGCATTTTATAAAGAAAATGAAAGTATTTTAGAATATATTAAAAAACACAAAAAGATACAAGGAACAAATATTGTCAAAACTGTTGAAGAAATTGAAGAAGATTATAGAAAAAAAGAAATTAAAGAAATTGGGATAGGATTTCCAAGAAAATATCCATTGATGTGTATTGATAGAAAAGAAAAGTATTTTATTATTAAATGTCAAGGAACAATTTTATGTGACCAAAATTTAATGACTAAGATATTATCAAAGCCAATTAGTAAAAAAGTTATGGGTTATTTATTATTATTTCCAAGACTTAAAATAAATTATCATTGTTTTTATAATAAGTTATATAACAATAAATATAATAATACATTCCTTTTATTAAACTGTCTTGCTTGTGGTGATACTAACTATCCAAGAAATTGTGGATTTATGGATGAAATTAATAGTATTAAAATATTTGTAATTGAAGAGATAGATAGTAAAAAGAAAATACTAACAATCAGTTCAACACAACAAAAAGATATTTTAAAATCAGATACTGACTATAAAAATCCTTGTACTAGAAAAATAAAAGAAGATATTTATGATAGTACAACATATGACTATAGTAGTAGTAATGGTTTAAATTATGATTCTATAAATGAAGAGATTAAATCTATTATTCCTAATATTATTGAAAGAGATGACTCGATTGAAAGACTTCTTATGCTCATTAAGAATAAATTAATAAGCCAAGAAAATAAAGATTGTCTTATGAATGAAATGGATAATATTATTCATTATTGTTTTGATTTAAAAAAAATTAGTGAAACATACGAACAAAAAAGTAAAAGAAAACAATTAGAATTACTAATAATTGAAATGATTAAGGAAAGTAATGACTATAAAAATCTTATTGGAACAAAAATTAAAGACATATTAAAACCAATGAATATTAATTATGATAATAAAGTGTTAATAGAGGTTTTAAGTAGTGGTGAAGAATATGTTGGAATTAAAAATTTAACAAACACATGTTATGTTAATAGTAGTCTTCAAGCATTATTTCATTGTAAATTATTCAGAGATGATGTAATTAAAGAAAAGTTAGATATTGGAAGTATTTCAACTATTTTTAAAGAAATGGCAAGAAAAACACAAGTAAATATATCGGACTCAATTCAAATGTTAACAGACAAACAAATTAATGTTGAACAACAAGACGATGCAACATTAATGTTAAATAGTATTATTAATAGAATTAAAACAGGAAATGAACAGTTAATAAACAATCATTTTAAAATTGAAAAAGAGTTTAAAAAAGTTTGTCCATTTTGTCATATAGAACAAGTTGTTAAAGAAAATTGCTATTATTTACATGTTCAACCAAATAATAGTATTATAGAATCCATAAATAGTAGTTTAACTGAGTCTATTGAAGGATATTATTGTGAAAAGTGTCATCAGACAGAGAGAATAGAAAGAAAGAGTAAAATTATTGAAACAAGTAATTATTTAATAGTAGAAATAAATAGAACAGAATATGATGTAGTTGGAAGAAGAAATAATCATGACATTAAATTTGACGAAGAAATTGAAGTTATACATGGTGAAAAAATGAGACTTATTTGTATAATAAATCATTATGGTAGTTTGGATGCAGGACATTATAATTGTTGGTGTAGAGTTAGTAAAAACAGGTGGTATAATTTTAATGATTTAAGTGTTGAAGAAATTAATGTTACTGAAAAATTATCATCAAATAAAGGAGTGATTGCAATTTATTGTAAAGAAAGTAAAGAAGTATATGACTCAGACTTTGATGAAACTATTAATGTAAATAGAATTATCAAACAGTATATTTTAAATAATGAAGAAGTTATTTCAATTATTGAAAGTTATAAAACAGAAAGTTGGGCTAATGAAATAAATAAGTTTAGAATTGATATGACAAAAGAAAACAAAACAAATGAAATATATTAAGGATTAAATTAATTTAAACGTTTGATATAATTAAACAAATATATAAATTAGAGTAATAAAGTTAAGGATGAACTAATTTAATTTTATTAAAACTAATGTTTTATTTTAATAATAGTTATTCAAAAAATAATACTTTCAAGAATTCTTAATTCTTTCATATAATCAAATCAATTTTAAGAAGAAATTGAAACTTATTAAATGAAGAAAAACTATGATTAATTAGGAAAAATCAATGAGTCATTTGTTAAAAGTATATTTAAAGG